AATAATTAGAGATTTCTCAAGAGCATGGTATTTTACTTCTTGCATATGTTCCTACAACATATAAGACAATGCTAAAAAACACACATAGTACAGTTTCATAAAATTCTAGAATTCCTCATTCAAACGTCTCATAAAGTATTGCTCTATTATGAGAAAATTACACTGTGTAATTGAATTTTAATATGACAGCCACCTAATTTCAATATTATACTTAACTGTACAAATAAACATCCATTAAAGATATTTTAAGGATCAAAATTATTCCTTAGTCTACAGCATTTAATTAAGCAATTCTAAAGAAAGTAGATCTATACAATGATTTAAAACAGTACTTTATGTCCTGAAAGAAGAATAAAAAATTGAATGGTTCATATTACAACCATTCTAATATAAAATAATACTAAGAAAATAAAATTATTTACATTGGATAGTACAATTTTGCATGTTTAGGGTTATTTCATAGTTGAAAATTACACATTGCAAAGGGGAAAGCATAAATATGGTTCAAAAGTTCAAACAGGCTAACTACCTGTGAAATGTTAAGCACACATTTTAGATATTAGACAATATTTCAATTATTTTAATTATATTAGTTTTCAAAGCTAATTAAGCTTAACGAAAGTTATGAGTTATTTAGAAAAATACCTGCCAATTCATGAATGTTTTCAATTTAAAGAAATAATTTTTTCACTGAAATTGGATAAAAATATATTATATTGTTGTAATTCTCCACATTTGTAGATGTGAAGATTGACAAATATAAAGCATAAGTTATTAGCATTAGCTAACTACATGGTCATAAATTCACAAAGTAACTACTATCCAGAACTACTGTCTCTTTTGGCCATGAATGTTGGTTGAATATAACACCACCATATGACAAAATAAGATCACATTTTCCTATACATAGTTCATAATCCAACATGACAAAGCAATGAAATTTCAAAATTCAATTAAAATATAGACATTTCTCCCTAAGAATTATTAAGGTCTCTGGATTCTAAAATGAGGAAAACAGAATACTAACTTTCTTTTAGGCTTCTTACACTCCTAGATATCTATTAACTGTATAATAAAACTGCATAGTCTTTCTTAATGTTTAAATTTGCTATCTTCAAAATTCAAATATAAAAATGATCAAATAATCACTACTGGCAAATGACAGAGGAGAAATTATATTTTATTCTAAAACAGTGTTTATGCTTTCATACTTAGCTAATATCATCAAAGTACACATATTCTCTCAGTCTTACCCAGTTCACTTGACTTCTTTTGAAGCTCCATGGTAAGTATTTTCAATTGATCTTCATCTTTCTCCAATCTTGTAAAATAATATGTAAAATAATCTTTTATTCAGAATTCATCTAGTAACTAAAACTGGTGACATTTAGCAACTGATATATTAATATCTTAGCATAGATTTGCCCACTCAATTATTAGACATTTATTGAGTACCTACTCTGTGCTGTATATGGTAACATTTTTTAAATAAGATATTACTATTATAAATACAT